CGGCCCCCCCAGGTGAGGACAGGCCACACGCACACGGGCTCCCTCCAGCACCCCTGGCCGGCGGCAGGCGCCCCTCGCCTTGAAGGTGACACACTGTGGTCGTGGCACCTACATCTACACGCAGCCTCGGCAGGCGGCCTGGGATGGGCGCACGTCTACCATGGGGCGTGGGGTTGCGTTTGTTTTTAAAATAGACGTTGGTGTCCTAGTACCTTAGCTACTAGTTCTTTACATTATGCTTTTACTGATTTCAGAGAGGAAGGGAGACAGAGAGAGAGAGAGAGAAACATCATTGATGAGAGAGAATCATGGATCGGCTGCCTCCTGCACACCCCACACTGGGGATGGAGCCTGTAACCCGGGCATGTGCCCTGACTGGGATTCGAACCCTGACCTGGTTCATAGGTCGACACTCTAACCATTTAGCCACACCAGCTGGGGCAAAATATGATACGTACTTAACATGTAGCACAGAGGTTCTCAACCTTCTGGCCCTTTAAATACAGTTCCTCATGTTGTGACCCAACCATAAAATTATTTTCGTTGCTACTTCATAACTGTCATGTTGCTACTGTTATGAACCGTCATGTAAATATCTGATATGCAGGATGGTCTTAGGCGACCCCTGTGAAAGGGTCGTTCGACCGCCAAAGGGGTCGTGACCCACAGGCTGAGAACCGCTGATGTAGTAGAATAATGTTAGTACTAGAAATACACGGTATCTCAGGATGAGAAAAGTAGTTATAAGCTGTTGCTTTTTATTTTTATTATTTGTTTTTTGTTAATCCTCGCCCGAGGGTTTTCCATTGATTTTTAGAGAGAGAGGAAGGGAGGAGGAGAGACAGAGAGACAAACGTCGGTGTGAGAGACATACTGGTTGGTTGCTAGGGTCGAGCCTGCCACCGAGGTGCGTGCCCTGGATGGAATCAAGCCGGGACCCTCAGTCCTCCGGCCGATACTTTAAACTGTTACTTTAAACGTTTTGGAATTTTAGTCACATAAGCCAGGAGCTGCACAGACTTATTTCCTGTGAAACGCAGCCTGGAAGACGCTCGTGGGAACTGGCCGTGCAGTTCCTGGTTCGGGTCCGTCTGTTGTTTTCCCTTCGAGTGCAGGCTGTTCCCACGCCGGAGCCGTGGAGGGCGGCTCGGCCCCGCCCCCAGGGGCTTTCCCGCGTGTCCCCACGCGCAGCCCTCGCTCCGTCTGCTTCCTCTGAGCCCTCAGCCCCTCCCCCGGGGC